CTCAGTTAATGACTTCCAGGTCTGAAGCTTTCAAAGTGTTCATACACGGTAACCGTTCCTAGAAGGCCTGTTTGATTACCTCTTCATTTGTCGTTCGAACTTCATCGCAGAGCAAGTACCTACATCAGAGAAATTAATTTATAAACAGTTTAAAAAGTATGGGATGTTACAGGCAATAACTCTTCCAAGTCGTCCCTAAGTCCGGTAGCTCTATCGACCTGTAGGCATCACCACTCAAGTAGCAGTGATCAATTATCCGGCATATAAAAAAATCTTTAAAATCTTTTCTTCTTGATAAAATGTTCCAAAACCAAACTACCAGCATGTGGCGGACAGGAAATAACATGAAAAATATATGCAATTTATGCTGGGTGCTAAGTTTGTGTAGGCTGTGGGAAAGGAACATGAAAATTTCGAAAAAAACCACTTCAAAAACTGTCAGTGCCTAACAGGACGGCGTAAATATTGATTGGAAATAAAATAAATTCTGCAGTGACACTTGTTTTTGGTTTCTTCATTGAGGAAGAAGAAGTTCTAGAAACCGTTAAAACGTTTGGCTTCGACCAAGGAAAGCAAACTTCAAATGTTGTTTCAGAAATTAAAGTAATGGAGGAATAAACTGTAAAGAACTGTAAAATGAAGAGCGACATCTCTTAGTCTTTTCAGTGTGTAGCAGTAAAATTAAAAAAAGCGTTGTCAAGAGATAACGCTATTCAGTGCAGGTTCCAGTCTCTCTCTAAATGGATCTTTAAGAAGACTGACTTAACGAAACTGTTTGCTCCTGGGGTCTGTTTTAAAATCTTCAAGGGTACTAGTTTGCAAGAAAATAGGACGAGTAAGAGAGAACCCCTTATCTTTAACACCCCAAGTTAGCAACGCGAACGACTTGGAGAAAATTTAAAAATTTGCTATAATTTTAAAGAGTCTAGCTTAAAATTTTAAATGAGATGAAATTATAGGCTACGAAAGGCCTGCTGAAGCAGTTGGTTCACCCGTAAACTCATGCGCCACCGAGTCTGTCATTGTCTTTTACGGGATTCTCTTCCACATTTACATGGTTCAGATGAACTTTTTCGTTGTCAGTCTGACGATAACATCTTGTAATGATCTTCACCGCCCGAAATATCCAAAACAGGATTTGCTATTATAGGTCACTTGCACGATGTATTGGGCCATTCTGAATTGCTGCTTACAATTATTGCCGTAAAACAAGTTCCACATTGTATAGTGAAAAGTGTACATTAGAGGTTAATTAAAGAAGCAAACAAAACTTTGTGCTCATCGATGTTTTTTTAATTAATTAATTCGTGAAGTGTAAAGAAAAACTGATTTCGAATAACAGCGGATTTGGATATATATAACTTTTACTGATACGATTGGAATACAGTATACATATCAACAGCTTTAAGAAGAGACTTAGGTCCACAGATTAATAAAGTGTAGGTACTAGAGCTCCTCCTTTTACCTCACCTCGATAATCGCTCCTTACTAGTCTAACAGATAAATGAGATATAAAAAAAAATCAAACGGTCCCAAAAAGTATCGTGGTATTTACTTTTGTAGGGACTCTTGCAGTTCGCACAAATATGCATTTATGCGTTTGCCTGCTGTGATCGGAGTGAATTAAAACGAACAAGGGCGGTACTGCAGTTAAGCGTGTTCATCTCCAAACATGCATTTTTTGGACGCCAACCTTCATCTTTTTATATGTGGTTCTCGACATCATTTAATTCATCTATATCAGTTTCAAATTTGTCCATATAGCCTTCGCTAGCTTTCTAACAGTCTATTGCTAGCATGTTTAATTCTTTTGTCATTTCACAACGGCGCCTTCTTGGCGACGTGTGGTATGATGGATGGTGCTGTCATTTTGTAACTGCAATCTTAAAAATCTGTAAAGTTCAAGTTCACCTCCGTCCAGTTCCTTCATTCACATTTCTTAATGTTTTCTAGCCTGCCTAAAAATACTTAAACACGATTTTTTATTTAAGTACATAGAAAGGGATGGCACTAAGTGAGTTTACTTTCTGGATGTGTCTAAGTCTGCTTCTACTGTTTTATAAACTAGCTGTTTTAATTTACAGAGGTAGTCAGAACATGGAAAAAGTAACCTTGCAGCTGTTAGGACCCTACAGCTAAGATTTTTGCTTCACCTATATCACAGTTTACCTTGTGCCTTTTTTTCAACTATCCCCTCTCCTTATTATTTCGTTGTAATTATATTCTATCTTTCACAATCGTAGTCGCTTGTCTCCACTTTCGTTAAAAGTTTTTTTCCTCAAGGCTACTTATTCCATGTTTTGACTACGCCTTTAAATTAAGGAGCAGCTAGAGAGTTTATAAAGTAGTAAAAGCAGATTCCTCTAAAACGCTATCCATTTTAGTGCCATTTGTCGAGTCCTATGCACATAACTAAAATTACTTTTAAATATGGGCATCTTTGAGCAGACCAGAAAACGGTCAGATATGCGAGTAGGGGAAATGGTCAGACAGGGGTCTGAACCGTCCAGTAGTGTGAATTTCCTGATCTTTGTCTCGAATTCCCGCGTCTTCATATTTTGGACGGTTACCAGTAAACTCTAAAGAGAACCCGGTTGAACTTTGAAATAGTAGCATGAAAAAACATAACAGCTATATTGCAGAGATTGCATTGCGCGCAACGAAAATTTTGGTGCTTTTAAGGTACTGACCTTGCGATGAGGTGTCATCAACGAACAGCAGTTGTCCACATAAAAATGTGAAAGTAACAAATGGGAGAGGCAACAAGTTAAGGACAATATTTTTGTCTATCGATATCATTCAGACGAGTGCTCGGATTTTCCAGAACTGGCTATTTAGCAACTGGCAGAAGCCCAGAAAAGCAGTTTTTAACTTTGCTGTAGATTAAATAATTAATTTTGATTCTCCACTGAGGAATAAGATGGAGGAGAAAATAACCACGTTCAGTTTTCAAGCCCATTTAACGATGAGTGTTGGTGTAGGTTACTGATGGGCACCTGTGGGCGAATTTTAGACGACAATCTATGTTGTTTCTATGGGTACTTCATCTATACAAACCGTTGTTTCATCGCATTGTGAGTGCTTTTTACACCTCATATTTCGCATATTTTTGGTGGATGACACATTTGTTTCTTCACCCGAAGGCTAGATGAATTTTGGGTGGAAAGGGTTCCTCGATAACTCGTATTTTGCACTCGCTACTTTTGTGGAAATAAAGCTCTTCAATTGGTGACTTCAGTTCTTTCTTAAGGTTAGTTGTAAGTTCTTTGCGCTTATTTTTCCCATTTTTTATTTTCATATTTTGTTCCTAATTTTTCCTTAATTATTTTTAGTACGTTTAAAAAATTCAAGCATTTGTACTTTTTGAGTGTTTGTTGTAATTAACACTAGTTGTAATTGTTTGAGTAGAATAATGCTTTAGATTTTCATCATTTTGAGCTAGAATAACAACCTTAAACCGGATGAAAATCCTGTTGCATCTTGCACTGTTGAATGGTTTCGTGTTTTGGACAGAATTATAGGGTAATACCAGCAGTTGTCCGTCTCAACGGGTGCACACCTAACTCACAATTGCTAAGCGATTGTATAATTTGCTGTATGTTACTTCTGTTCAGTGTTTGCCAGATCATATACTTTATTCGTGTTTTAAAAATCATATTCAAACAAATTCATTTGAAAGCTCTTTTTAATTCCAAATTTCAAGACATCAAAAATAGATATATATTAAAACAAACTAAGAGAAGTCATCGGGTTTCCTGATAATAATGACTAATTTCAAGATTTTAATTGTTCCTTCCAATGAAATTTTTTTATGATGCCTGGAAGAACATTGCCCTTCTACTTTACTATAATTATCGTACCAGCAAATGGTCGTGTATAAAAAGAACCCTTTTTTAACTTTTTTTGTTTTGTTGAATCTTCAGTACTCTTTTACTTTTTTCCCTTCGTCAAGTTTTTTTATCGGTTAGTGTTCTTCAAAATTTTTGGCAAAATTTTGATTTATTAGCAGGCTGTTGCTTAACAGTAGCTCTTGTATTCCAGCTTTTATCTTTTTATTTCTATTGTAGTTCGCTTAGAATTATGCGTTACTTTTCAAAATGGATTCATTTCCATTTTTTTTTTCTTCATGAAATTCTTAATAGAATTTTCCAAATGACTAGGACAGTTGCTATACTTCTAATGCAAATCTGATCGAAACAGAATTTTTAAAGCTTACTAACAGGAAATAGTGAGTGACTAGCATTATTTTTCACTACCTTTCAGTGGGAAGAAAAATGTCGCCGGAGATCGCTTTCCGATGTAGCACGGAAATACGTAAAGCGCCTTTTCTGACTGTAAAGACGTGGAAGCGCCCTTACAGCCCCATTGATTTCCGAACTGTTGAGGAAAAAAAGTTGCGTTGCATTTTTGCACTTTGAAGGTTTCGTTACTGTGAATGCGGCATAATCTTGACGTTGAAATTGTTTGTAAAAATAACAATATGATCTGTGTCAAAACTACGTTTTAATTTTTAAAACAGGATGGTTGACTTGTTTTCATTTTCGCATTCTTGGGAAAAAATTTATTTGCAATTTTTCATCGAAGTTCGTAGTACCGTTCCTAAGCGGAGTTCAGCAGTATGATGACTTTTAATTTTTATGATTTCCAACTATACAGCTGCATCTGTGAATCCAAAACAAAAGAATTTTTTTGTTGCTTTTGCTTCTATTATTAGTTTTATCATGTTTTCATTATCTTTTTAGTAATATTGTGGAATAACTTGATGTTAAGAGGTGGTTATGATGGTTCGCATGAGTTCCACTTCACAGCTTACCAATTTTTGGTTTTTGCATTTCACTTGCTCAATTGTTCGTTACGTGTGTATCAGTTATTTAACTTTAACTTTTTTGTGCTTTTTTTTCATAAAAGTGATTGGTGACATTATTTCTAGTTTGGAAGTGTTGTTCTTCTTAAGGGTAACTGTTCTGATTCGCCAAAAAGTAGGGGTCTGCAGCTTTTCCATGCCCCGGCATAAGAGCGCTGGTTTGGTCTTATTTATTCATACGCCCAAGTGAATTATTTTCAGAAAATTAATAGTTTCCTTTCCTTAGCAATTGCTCTGGTGGTACAGGTATTGCGGCCGAATGTTCAACAGTTAGCTTCTCATCCAAATCTCTGTAGTTCTGATAGCTTGCCGAAATTTTTAAAGCAGTTCTTGCGATGTTCAATACTGTGTTATGGCCACTTTTACTTAAGACTAATCTTTGCTATGGTTGTGCACTATGACGAGTCTGTTGTATTGCTGTCGTAATGACTCGGGAGTAAACAGAGAAGTATGTTATTTTTTAGAAAAATTCTTCAGGTTTCAAATTTTTTTGTTTGTCTTGAAAAAACTGCGTCGTTTTTTTTTTTTATTTTATTTTTTCAGGACAATGTCTGTTTCGGAATTCCGAAGTTGTTTTCACTTGATTTTGATTTCCATTGCAATATCGGTCCTCGTTCAGGTTTTCATTCTTTCTTCTTTGGGATTTTTGCAATACATTGATATAGGTGTCGCTACAACAAATTCTACTTTTTTGAACTCTGTTCTGCTTTAGTAGAGGATGCGGATAATTTTTTCAGAAAAGTTTTGCAAATTAGACAGAAATACTTTTTTTAATCGCATATAGTTCCCTTCGCTTAGCAGTTTCTCTGATACAGGTATTGTGGCCGAATGTTCAACAGTTAGCTTCTCATCAAAATCTTTGTAGTTGTGACAGCTTGCCGGACTTTTTAAGACAGTTCTTTCGATGTTCAATACTGTTAAAACGTCGTGCTCTTACAAGGCGGTAAGGAAATAATGGTATTATTCAGCAACTTACAACGTAAGAAATGTCTGTTAGTGGTTTTGATTCAAAGGTTAAAATTTGCTCACGAGGTATGATGTTTTTCCTGCCTTTTTCAGACCACTTTTTATTTTCCTTTGGAAATTATTTTTCTGCAGGCACAGCGACGTTGGGTACTTTGCGGAACCATTTCCACTAGAGCCTTGGTCAGATGGGAATGAGAAAGCCGTAAAGGACGAAGGCATTCATTTTTTGATGCCTTTAAGAATAACAGAGAAAAAGGAGGCTTTGGCAGAAGCTGTTGCTGCGTTAAAAGCTGCTGTCTCTTCAAGGAAAAATGGGAAAATGCAAAAAGTAAGGGAATCTAAGGAGCTGTGATTCACAGTTTTTAGTGCTTTTTTTTTTTTTGCGAATTGTGCAAAGATTTTGGAACAGTTTCCTATTTAAATGGGTAGTTAAAAGTATGGTTGTCACCTGCACGGGTATTTTCTTTTCTGGCTCCTAGTTAACACGAGTAGGGAATTTCTAGTTTCAGGAAGCTTTCGGTAGGAAATAAGGAGAAATGCTCGGAAGGCGAGAAACAAAAAGAAAGATACTGAGATAATTAACTAAGGGATGTGTTTGCTGTTCTGCCTATCCCGCATTTAATCGAATTAAAGATCTAGAAGCTGTATAGGTTCCTGATAACAAAAGATTCGCTTTTTGTTTTTCTGTCGCCTTCCGTTTATTTTTTCTAAATTCGTCGTTTAGCTACTTTGCTACTCTGTGACACCATTTGATAATTTTCCGTGCTTAAACGTCTTTCACTGTTAGTGTCAACCTGGATTTCAAAAATAATATTCAGAAGCACGATATTCTTACCAGTGATCGCACTGGAGGTTGTTGCTATTTTTGTAGTATAGGTTAGTTGAAATATTATCAGTAAGGTGGAAGTATTAATCGGAGAAACTATTATATCTTACGACATCTATCTTAAAAGGCATTTTTTTTTTGCTCAGAATTTTCAGACTTTGTATACTGAATTTTTTTCACCATCTTGTTCACTCGCTGAAGCTTAAAAAATATTTGTGCAATTGTCACTTAAATTTTACCGAAAAGGTCTAGGTTTGCATAAATTGGACTTTTTTTCCGCCAGACGAACATCAAAATGATTCTTCACAAGGTTAGATTGATTGTGAAGATGCACATCTTAACTAGAATGTTAAAAGATCATGATAAAAAAGACAGATTTTTTTGGAGATGTGCAAAAGTACGATGTATACGAAACTCGTATGATTAAAAAAAAGAAAGGAGTGTATTACTTTTCTCGTATGATCTTTTACTTTTACCAAGAGTCGTCCAAAGAAAAACTTGTTTGGGTTTTCGTAACTGTCTTTGTGCAAAAAAAACTGCTTGTGTAATGGGTGCAAACGAGTTTTTAGGTTGAGAACCAAGTTAAGTCAACCTCTGCAACTTCTTTGGGGACGAATTGGAGAGGGATTAAGTGGGTCTTTTGTTTAAAACGTCTTCCTTCTATGGGAGCCGTTGGGTGACAACCCTAATAGAAAGTACGGATAATATTAACAAGAACAGTTCTTATTAGGCTGAAACAATAATCAAACACGCATTGTCTTTGGCTCCTGACCACCCAGACATACTTACTGAATATGGTATTCTGGTTGAGACGGTGCGTCAGAACGTTGTTGAAGCTGAAGAATTATACACTCGTGCCTTAACGTATAATCCGCACCATAAGGAAGCACTGATGTACAGATATAAATTACTTATGATCTTAAGTTTCTTTTTATTATCATTCACTCAACATCTTAATCTTATCCTCTTTTTGTTTTTTTTAAAACATCCGGGCATAATTTGTTTATAGAAGATTCTGCAGTAAGTTTTTAGCCGTCGTGCGAGAACTCTGCCGTTGGTGGAAGAAATTGATAAAAAAATGCTTGAGGCTTTGCGCAGGAAAAGAGATTATTTTTTGCGGATTCCAAGGAGTAGCCCAGCATTAAAGCGCGCGATGCGCGACTCGTACTTTATGCATATATATCACACAGTTGCTATAGAAGGCAACACTATGACTCTGGTTCAAACTAGGTAATTTCCGCTTTTCTGTTTTGAAGGATTTCTATTTAATTCATTCTGTAACGTACTTTTCCTGATCTTTATAACATTTTTTGCTCGTTTTTGCAGCGACAAATTAGTCGTGTCAAATCCTTGCTTATTTATCAGAGTAAAATTTTTTTGTTTTAAAGATTTCAACGGTTAGGATTGGTTACTATATTTGTAAATTTTAGGTCCGTACTTGAGACTAGAATGGCAGTAGGGGGGAAAAGTATTATGGAACACAATGAAATATTGGGAATGGATGCTGCTCTTCGTTTTCTAAATCAGAGCCTTGTGCATGTTGGATATATTAGTGTTGAAGTACATTTTTGATTATAATTGTCTTCAGTTTATTTCGGTCAGCGATTTGTTAATTTTCGTGTTTTTCTTTTTAGGATATTCTTGAGATTCATAGACGAGTACTTGGCTATGTTGATCCAGAAGCAGCAGGTGTTCTTCGCGTGACTCAGGTGTGTTGGTATAGTTTCGTAGGTAAACAGTCAGATTTTTTGCTTTTCTAGCATTTAAAGGATGAGTATTGTTAAAAAAAGTATTTCATACATGTAGAAATCTGGATAAGAACAACGTGGGGTCTTTTATTCGGTAGCAGTCTCAAAAGCGGCTGTATTGAAGTAATGCTTTTTATCCCTTCCTGCTTCTAGGTTTATGTTGGAAGTTTTATTCCTGTAGCTCCAGAACTTGTTCCTCGAGAGATGGACGAAATGATAAGATGGCTGAATGATGAGGAAACTCTATTATTGGACCCAGTAGAATTTGCGGCTATTGCTCACTACAAATTGGTAAGTTTTAAAAAAAAGACCTAGGGTTTATGAGTTTTATTCTAAGTTTTGACTTTACTTTCTGATGTTTTCGGTTGGAGCAAACTAGTTCTCCTTGCTGTCGGAATTCGTCCCTACCACTGTCGCATAATTTAAAAATCTCTTTGTTTGGTATCCGGTGACTGAAACAGTGTTTTGCTGTTTTTTGTCTTATTGGTTTTGTATAACTGTTCTTTGCTAACTTTTTACTTACGTTTTTTAGAAAATTATTGACGAGGGATCGGGGGGATAAGTAGTGATAATTTAAAATTCTTCTGCTGCGTCGTTTTATACAAAAAAAAAGTAAGTTGTGCTTTCCTGGGGATTGATATTTTGGTTCAGAAATCGGCTAGTTGAACTTTTAAAGGTCTATATTCACCCATTCGTGGATGGTAATGGCCGCACAGCGCGCTTGTTAATGAATCTTATTCTTATGCAGAATGGTTTTCCTCCAGTCATAATTCCAGTGGAGGAAAGAAGTGAATACTACAGGACACTAACTGTTGCTAACAGTGGAAATCTTAGGCCGTTTATACGTTTCATAACGCGTCAAACGGACAACACTTTGCAGGTTCAATTGTGCATTTTTTTTTTTACCTGTTGAATTCTCATTTGGAAAACAGTTTAAGAGGTTGTTTTGATTTTTCAGGTATTGAACAGCCTCTTTTCTAATCTTGATTCAAAAATAGTGTTGTTTAGTGGTAAACTGGGTAAAAAATTTTATTGGACGATATGTTATAGTCAGTTTTGTAGTGGCATATTTTTTTTCGAAAGGACTGATTAAATTTATTGCCAAAAGCAGCGTAATTTCTTGGAGTTTAGTAAACAGTTTTTTCTATTTTAACGGGGCTTTTATTTCAATTTTGCTTATATCACCGTCATAATGCAGAAAAGAAATCTTTTTGGGTTTTCAACTAACAACGTTTATGCAACTTTACTTATTATAAGCTTACTTTTCTGAGCTGAACCATAAGCTTTTTAACTTTTTGGAGTTTTTCTTTATCACCGTTTTCGGTTCTGTTTTTTCAATAAAATTTTCTACCTCCTGTTTTTCTTATTTTTAATCAGAATAGTTTTGTCTTAGGCGGGACACAATTATGTTTTTTCCGTTATTTTTTTGAATCTCGAGTAACTAGTTTATTTTAGTCTTACATCAACGCTGCTTTCATGTGTGATGTTTATGCACCTGAAGCCGATTGTATTTCTGCAAAAACGCGAGAACTGCCTGACAAATTGTCACATACTAGTAACGGTAGTCCGAATGTTTAAATTATTTAGCATTGTCTCATATGTTTCCAACAATGTGATCTCAGCTACATATTCTTACGTTTTAAATGGAGTTTGTGTTTCAGTTATGCAGTCAGATGTGTAAGATTTTCGCTTTTACCGTCGAGCCAGTGGTGCATTCGTGCATCCAGTTTTTTAAATCTTTTTGTTGGTACTTTTAATCCTACGTCTGACTTCCTAACTAACTGTGATATGTAATATAGAAGAACCTTTAGTGATGCTTAATAGTATTGTATGTAATGTTGGTCAACGTCTATTTGTTTGATGGAAAGCTTTGAGTTTTTATGCACCAAGAAAATCACTGTATTGTTGCACAGTCTTCGAACTTCGTTCGTGTATGTCTTTAGTCTCTTGCTGACGGACCGTCGCATTTTAATTTGTTGGTAAAACATGCAAATTGGTTGATCAAAACTTCTTTCCACATCGGGGTTTTTTTCCCTATTTTCAAGATTTACTCATGTTTTGCTGTTACGTATATTTTCTGTATTAGTGCGAGTTAAAAATAAAGGTGATTGGTTATCCGTAGTTTGAGAAATCATTTTAAAGTCTTTCCAGGTAGTGTTTAAACGAAGTAAACTTTCAGACATGAAGAAAATCAAAGTTTTGAAAGAAAGGTAAAAAGTTTTAGGGGGGCTAGGTAGTTCAGGTAAGTGGAAGAAGATCTGCCAGCAATTGAGTTCATGTAAGGTACAGAGTGATAAGTGGGATTGAACGTTTCCACCTAAATTGTACAAGAACTGGATGAGTTGCTGACACAGGTCTTTTTTCATTCATCTGGTTTGTCAGCTTTTTTTTTTTTTTTTTTTTTTTTCAAAGTGAGAACTGTGTTTG